TTGTACAGGTCATGTGACTCGTGCAGGAACAAGGCCCAGAAAGATGCACACCCCAGTTTTCCTCTGGGACATGTTGGAAAGTACATCAGAATTCAAGGGCAACTTCCAGCCAGGCAAAAACAGTGGCAGAGGGTGAAAAGGTGTGACCTAGGAAAAGTCCCAAGGGCCGGATTAGAGAGACATGGAGGGCTGCATTTGCTCCCCAAACCTGCGCAGCACTATATTAACTCTCCAGTTTAGTTTGGCCCTTGCTCATTTTGAGTCATTCCCACTCATGGCAGGAGTCTCAACCAGGGTGCTTGACTGGTGCAGCGATGGCCTCAATCACAACCTGGGATCACAGAAGTTTGGAAGCAGAGAGGACAGGGATCTGCTAAGCAGGGCTTGCAGGCTCCTTGTGTGGCAGGGCTTCCCCTGGGATCTACTGGGATTTTTACAGCGCTTTCCTCCCCCTCCCCACCCCCGGCCCTGTTTTTATGAGCTTGTTCAAAGTGGCCAGGGGAAATTGCAAATATTAGCTCAGTGTCACATAAGAGAGACAAACCAAGCAAAGTGTGCCGATGCTGAGCCAGCAGTTTCTGCCAGCAAAGGCAGTGGAAGAGGAGCAGCAGAAAGGAACCTGATGAATATGGATGAGCTCGGCTCAGGAACTCAACCCGAAATGAAAATTGCAATCGGGAAGAAATGAATCCCTTCTTAGGTCCTCGCTAATGGAGCATTATGTTAGTTGTGGCTTCAAGTTTGTGCCGTTTGGAGACTAATGGCCAGTGTGGGATGGAGACGATCTGGTCCTGATCTGGAGTCTGCATGCCCCCGGGGCAGGGAAAGCTCCCATCCGAGCATGTGGGAGTTACTTCCTCCTAATAATAATAATAATAATAATAATAATAATAATAATAATACATTTTATTTATACCCCGCCCTCCCCAGCCAAGACCAGGCTCAGGGTGGCTAACACCAGATATAAAACAATTGATTGAAATCCAACTAAAAAAACAAGATTAAAATACATGTCCAAGAAGCTTTTAAAAACTTGTCAGGGTGCTGGAAGGAATTTTGACTATTGTTGCTGCTTTTGTGACAGAGGCATGAATTTGGGCAGTGCTTGATGTGAAGAGATGATGGATGATAGCTAGCTAGATAGGTAAAGGGGCCCCTGACCATTAGGTCCAGTGGTGGCCGACTCTGGAGTTGTGGCGCTCAACTCGCTTTATTGGCCGAGGGAGCTGGTGTACAGCTTCTGGGTCATGTGGTTCTGGTGAACCAGAGCAGCACACGGAAACACCATTTACCTTCCTGCCGGAACGGTACCTATTTATCTACTTGCACTTTGACATGCTTTCGAACTGCTAGGTTGGCAGGAGCAGGGACTGAGCAACGGGAGCTCACCCCGCCGCGGGGATTTGAACCGCCAACCTTCTGATCGGCAAGCCCTAGGCTCTGTGGTTTAACCCACAGCACTGCCCGCGTCCCTCTAGGATAGGAGGATAGGAGGGAGATAAAAGAAAGCACCTTTCCACACAGCTCTTAGTTCAACTATAGCACTTGTTCTCACAGGAGATGGTGGTGGCTACCAACTTGGATGCCTTTGTAAGAGGATTAGACAAATTCATGGAGGACAGGGCTGTCGATGGCTACTAGCCTTGCTCTACCCCCATAGTTGCTGGAAATTGCAGGGCTCTTGTGTTTGGGTCTTCCTTGTGGGCTTCCCATAACGGGCATCTTGTTGGCCACCATGAGAGCTGGATGCTGGACTTGATGGACCATGGACCCGATCCAGCAGGCTCTTCTTATGTGACCAGTGAGTATGTTGGCAGAGTAGGGGCAGAGCTCTCCATCCATCCTCCACACCCAACATAGGCGTCTAATAATAATAATAATAATAATAATAATAATAATTTATTTATATCCTGCCCTCCCCAGCCAAGACCAGGCTCAGGGCGGCTAACACCAAGTAAAAACAATTGATTAAAATACAACTTAAAAACAAGATTAAGTCCAACTTTAAAATGTAGCCTCATTTCAGTAGAAACTCAAATCAAAAACTTTTTGCGGATGAAAATGTCAAGTCTCACCAAGGCTAACTATCCAGACTGGTCCTACATGGGCCAGAAAAAAGCCAGGGAAGTCCCCAAATAGGAGTTCCATCACAGAAGGAGAAAGGAAAAAGGAAAGAGGGGGAGGGGATCAAGTTGATTCCAAGCCAAAAGTCAGGCGGAATAACTGTCTTACAGGCCCTGTGGAAAGAAATCAGATCCTGCAGGGCCCTGGTCTCATGAGACAGAGCGTTCCATCAGGCTGGAGCCAGTGTTGAAAAGGCCCTGGCTCTGGTTGAGGCTAATCTGACTTCCTTAGGGCACGGAACCTCTAGGGTATTGCTGTTTATGGACCTTAAGGTCCTCCATGGGGCATACTGGGAGAGGCGGTCCCGTAAGTACAAGGGTCCTAGGACGTGATGGACATCTGGTTGGCCACCACGAGAGCAGGATGCTGGACTTGATGGACCATTGGCCTGATCCAGCAGGCTCTTCTTATGCGACCGGTGAGTATGTTGGCAGAGGAGGGGCAGAGCTCTCCATTCCCTCCTCCACACCCAAAGTAGAGAAACCCAGAAAAGCTACCTCCTTCGCACCCAGCTCAGAAGAGCCGTGGACCTCTGCAAGAGGATGGAGGTCCCTGATGCGCCAGCTTCAAGCAAGCTGCGATATTATTGCAGGCCAACTAATTGACAACTAATTACTAATTGACAACTGCGAACTAATTGACAAGACTTAAGCTTATTGCGTCCTGCCGTCTCCGATCGGAGGAGTGGAGAAAAAGAACTTTGACACAGGGAAACTGGGATTCTGTCTCTGTCTCCCCCAGATATTTCTGGCATCCACTCGCTGAGTGTTGAGCTCTCCATTATCCAAAGAAATCTCTTAGATTCAGCGAGCATAAACAGCTGCTGTAGCGTGTGAGCAAAAAGAGGAAAATCTAAAAATACAGGCATCTCTGGGGGCTTGGAGAGACTACAGGAGTAAAATACAAGGGCAGCAGCAGGAGAGCTTGATGTTATTCTGCAGCCAGAGTGCTGCTGTGCTGAACACTCTCTCACACCCCCATGCCAGCATCGCATTGCTGTGCGAACAGATGTAAGGCCTGCCAGTAAAAAGAGGTCACAGAGTTGAGCCAAGAGGACTCCTGCAAAACTCTTTATAGTTCCATCAGTGTGATGGGTTGGGAACAGCAGGACCACCATCCAGTGTCCTCCCCCTGCCCCACATGCTGCTATGGAAATTGCTGGCAATACCCAGCCCACCTGGAGACAATTGCTCTGTTGTGCTTTATCTGATCTGCCTCAACATGAACCAAGTTTGTCAAATTCCTGGTGCTAGGAATTCCACTAGAAAGTGTAATAATAATAATAATAATAATAATAATAATAATAATAATAATAATTTATTTATACCCTGCCCTTTGGGTGGCTTCCAACAGAACACTAAAATACAATAACCTATTAAACATTAAAAGCTTCCCTAAACAGGGCTGCATTCAGATGTCTTCTAAAAGTTTGGTAGTTATTTTTCTCTTTGACATCTGGCGGGAGGGCGTTCCACAGGGCGGGTGCCACTACCGAGAAGGCCCTCTGCCTGGTTCCCTGTAACTTGGCTTCTCACAACGAGGAAACTGCCAGAAGGCTCTCGGCGCTGGACCTCAGTGTCTGGGCAGAACAATGGGGGTGGAGACACTCCTTCAGGTATACTGGGCCGAGGCCGTTTAGGGCTTTAAGGGTCAGCACCAACACTTTGAATTGTGCTCGGAAATGTACTCGGAGCCAGTGTAGGTCTTTCAAGATCGGTGTTATATGGTCTCGGCGGACGCTCCCAGTCACCAGTCTAGCTGCTGCATTCTGGATTAGTTGTAGTTTCCGGGTCACCTTCAAAGGTAGCCCCTTTGTTGTTGAGTTACACATGCATTCCTTGCCTCCCCCTTCCTCTCTCTTTTAACATTCACAGTAGTCCTGTAAGGTAGGTCTGGCTGGGTGAAGCTGGCTGGCTCAGCCATGTATGACAACGGAGCAGACTTTTGTTAGCAGGAGCCAGAGTCTGCTCATGTTCTGTGACTGTTGCAATAGTTGCATAATGCCTGCACAGATTTATGAATATATTTATGTGGAGAGCTGTGTTTTGTGTGCGCTTAACACTTGCTTTGGCACGCTGCTGAACTCCACAAGAAAGCCCAACACGGTTGGATCAGAGGTTGTTCGTTTGCATTCCCACCAGGGAAGCCGACATCAAAAGCAAACAGCGACACCCCTCCGCCACACTTGCTCCTCCTGTGGCTTCGAACCTCTCAAGCTCCAGGATGAAATATGCATGAAAAGAGGAGAAGGAACTCCACCTTATGGTGCAGAGGACTCATCCAAATGGGGTCAGGAACACCAGTTCCTCATAAGAGGGAAGATGGCTCATGTGCCTTCAAATGAAAATAAATGTGTCGTTTGAGCAGTAAAGTCCTTAGGGGTCCCCCTCTCTCCCTTCCTCCAGAACACATGGAGGGGGTGGCGATAGCAAAGGCTGAGTGTCACCACTCAGGATTCTGGAAGAAACAGGCACCAGCACCTAACAGTTCAACTGAGCTTGTCGCAGATCCACAACATGCCTATAACACACACAGAATGCACATTTGAAGCACATGACTCCCTCCAATGAATCCTGGATACTATAGTTTGTTTGGGGTGGGTGGGAACTGTAGTTCTGTGAAAGAGTATCTCCACTCCCATTGTTCAGTCCGGACGCTGAGGTCCTCTTCTGAGGGTCTTCTGCTGGTTTCCTCACTGAGAGAAGTGAAGTTACAGGGAACCAGGCAGAAGGCCTTCTTAGTAGTGGCACCCTCCCTTCAGTCATCTAGAGATAAAGAACTTTTAGATATGTAACTTTTAGAAGACATCTGAAGGCAGTGCTGTATCGGGAAGTTTTTAATGTTTGATGTTTTATGTTGTTTTATGTATTCTGAAAGCTGCCCAGAGTGGTTGGGGAAACCCAGCCAGATGGGTGGGGTATTATTATTATTAATAATAATAATAATAATAATAATAATAATAATAATTTATTTATACCCCGCCCATCTGGCTGAGTTTCCCCCAGCCACTCTGGGCGGCTCCCAATCAAATGTTAAAAACAGTAATGAAATTATTATTAATTATTATTAACTACAATTCTCAGGGTTCTTTGGAGGAAAGCATGTGCTTTAAAAGGTGCATGGGATGTGAGTTTAAATGTATGGTGTGGATCTGCCCACAGTTGAGAGGAGGTTTTAGATTAACAATCAGCTCTAAAATAATTTCAGGATGAATGATGATGGGACAGGAGAGGACATTACAGTAGAGGCTAAGACTGAGAGCTGGAAAGGCCATTGGCTAAAAACCTCAGCCACCGTCTCACTCAGCAGTCTTAGGCATGCTACTATGTCCCCATCCTCAGCTTTCCACCTGAAAAATGGGAAGAACAACCCTCATGTCGTTCACGGTATTGCTGTAAGGCAACTCTGTACAACTCACCATCCCACCAATAATAATAATAATAATTTATTATCTATACCCCACCCATCTGGCTGGGTTTCCCCAGCCACTCTGGGTGGCTCCAACAGAACACCAAAATACAATAACCTATTAAACATTAAAAGCTTCCCTAAACAGGGCTGCCTTCAGATGTCTTCTAAAAGTCTGGTAGTTGTTGTTCTCTTTGACATCTGGTGGGAGGGCGTTCCACAGGGCGGGTGCCACTACCGAGAAGGCCCTCTGCCTGGTTCCCTGTAACTTGGCTTCTCACAGCGAGGGAACAGCCAGAAGGCCCTTGGCACTGGACCTCAGTGTCCGGGCAGAACGATGGAGGTGGAGACGCTCCTTCAGGTATACTGGACCGAGGCTGTTTAGGGCTTTAAAGGTCAGCACCAATACTTTGAATTGTGCTGGGAAACATACCGGGAGCCAGTGTAGGTCTTTCAAGACTGGTGTTATGTGGTCTCGACAGCCGCCCCCAGTCACCAGTCTGGCTGCTGCATTCTGGATTAGTTGTAGTTTCTGGGTCACCTTCAAAGGTAGCCCCACGTAGAGTGCATTGCAGTAGTCCAAGAAAGAGATAACTAGAGCAAACTAAACTCCGCCCACTAACCACAGAAGGTGTTCTACTAGCAGCTCAATAAAGCTTCCTGTTTTTCTCAAGCACCTGGCAGGCTGCCCTTCATAAGGACATAAAAAGAGTGTGCTGGATCAGGCCAATGGCCCATCTAGTCCAACAGCCTGTCCTCACAGTGGCTGACCAGATGCCCGTGGGAAACCTGCAAGCAGGATTCGAGCACAAGAGCACTCTGCCCACTCTGCAACTGGCATTCTGAGTCAATATGCCTCTGACCGTGAGGTAGAATCGTAGAATCTCAGAGCTGGAAGGGACCCAACGGTCATCTAGTCCAACCCCCCGCAATGCAGGAATCTCCACTTGCTCTACTTCACATGGAACAGAATCATCCCGGAAAATTGTAACGTGGCCCAGAAACCCCCAGTGCAGTGACTACAAATTGGTACGATACATTCCAGGGAACTTGGAGTAGCTCAAAACACAGGAATGCAATTAACCTTGTTCTCGGGTCCTGTGATGCCAAAGATATAACAGTGGGGGGGGGGGCGCACAGTTCACAAAATACCCACACATTCTTTCACCGACCTTTCAGAGAATGGGGACTGATTCATGTCCTGGGCAACTTGTCAGCTTGAGACCACGATGGCAACAACGTGAACGTGATGACATGAGAAACTGATGAAACTTATTATCGCAAGGGGAAGGGTGTCTTCCATTCTGAGAAGCTTTTAAAAACTTGTCAGGGTGCTGGAAGTAATTTTGACTATTGTTGCTGCTTTTGTGGCAGAGGCATGAATTTGGGTAGTGCTTGATGTGAAGAGATGATAGATGATAGATAGATAGATAGAGATAGATAGATGATAGATAGATGATAGATAGATAGATAGATAGATAGATATAGATAGATAGATGATGGATAGGTAGATAGGTAAAGGTAAAGGGATCCCTGACCATTAGGTCCAGTCGCGGATGACTCTGGGGTTGTGGCGCTCATCTCGCTTTATTGGCCGAGGGAGCCGGCATACAGCTTCCGGGCCATGTGGCCAGCATGACTAAGCCGCTTCTGGCAAACCAGAGCAGCACACGGAAATACCATTTACCGTCCCGCCAGAGCAGTACCTATTTATCTACTTGCACTTTGACGTGGTTTCGAACTGCTAGGTTGGCAGGAGCAGGGACCGAGCAACGGAAGCTCCCCCCGTTGCGGGGATTCGAACTGCCAACCTTCTGATCGGCAAATCCTAGACTCTGTGGTTTAACCCACAGTGCCACCCACGTCCCAGATAGATAGATAGATAGATAGATAGATAGATAGATGATAGATAGATAGATAGATAGCTGTTCTTTCATTCTGAGTGGGTGGAGACAGGTTGTGGTTATGTGGGAATGGGTGAGTGCCCTCTTAACATGCTCTAGGGCTGGGGTGGTAATATTCTCCTGCTAAAACAGATGGGTTTTAAAATATCATTTTAGCAGAGGGCCCTGATAATACAGTGGAAGAAAGCTGCCTTTTCAGCAGTGCCTTGTAAGCAGCTGCAAAGTCCCAACTTCAGGATTTCAAAGCAGTTTGTTTGCACATGATGTCACTGTCATGCCACGTGATTGACAGGGGGGCAGCCCCGCTCACCTGTCAGATCTGGCCCACAAGGCTGGTCCTGATAAGGATCTGACCCATAGATTCCCCACTCCAGAAAGCCTACAAGCTACAAGCCTCTGCAAACCTTCTAGGAAGCAAGTCCCACTGAATGCCATGGACCTGACAAAGATGTGTGAATTCGAAAAGATGGTTTGCTTTTTTCAATTTGCTTATTGGATCAGGGGTTGCAAATTAGGTAGGTTTGCTTTAGAAGGCAAACTGAACCAATTTTCTCCCCCACCCTTAATTCCAACCACTACTCTTTGAGCTTCAAATCGCCTCGTTCCTTGACCAGTGACATGCTTTGTAAAGTTACTCCCCATTACTATGGGATGCAACTAGGTGGAGGAATGTCCAGGAAAAATAAAGGGCCATTCTTCATGTTAGGCAGCAATAGGACAAGGTTTATGCTATTTAAAATCCTGTTCTACTTTTGCCTCTGGATATTTTATACTTGGCAAGCTCTCATTACTAAGAAGTGGTGCAGCATAACAAGTAGGAAGAGGCATATTACAGTCAATTGTAAAATTAATACCATGAAGTACTGAGGGATGGAGAGGAATCCAGTTCACTTCACATTTCCTGAAACAATATGTGAACTGAAACACAGCTGTCCTGCCAAATTCACACTTCTCTGAATTTTGAAATGCAGTTCTCCAGCCAAGTAACGTGGAGCAATATATATATATATATATATATATATATATATATATATATATATATATATATTACACTAGACTAAAACGCATATACTGTATTGGGGAGAATACCACACAAAAATCATTATATTGAGGGAAATTGCTTGCATATATGTGTATTAGACAAAGTTGCATTAAAAAGTATATAAAAAGAGAAATAGGCATTAAGATGCTGATGAATATTCATACATGATAGATAGATGATAGATAGATAGATAGCTAGATAGATAGATAGATAGATAGATAGATAGATATAGATAGGTAGGTAGATAGCTAGATAGCTAGATATAGATATAGATATAGATATAGATATAGATATAGATATAGATATATATTGCAAACTTATTTGGAAATGTGGAATCCAAAACTTAAAATTGGAAAAATGAGAAACTGAGAGAAACTGATACTGAGAGATTCACTCATTCTAGAAGTAACATATCGCACACTCCTGTGAAATTTTGCCTTCTTCCAGTCTTAGAACTTGCTTGAACTATGTAGATCTAAAACGCGTCAAAATGCTAAAAATGATAATTTGCCCTTGCATTGACAGGTGATGAGCCAGATAACCATCCTGCCCTCCTCCTCCTCCTAATCTTTATCTTTCGTGAGGACACCAGCACTTTCCTTTCCTGCCTCCAAGAGAGTAGCACGAATCTGCTGAATTTTAACTCTCCGATAAGCAAGCCTCTGTTATCACATGACATTTTAATTGTATTGGCTGGAATCCCCTGTCTCTATCAGCACCAGATTGCCAAGCTATTAGCACAGACAGCTCAGCACCTTTTACAGTAATCATGGGCAGTTATTTTCTGCTCAGCCAACTTGCACTGGTCCAGCCCTGTGTTTATACTCTAAGCGCTCGCCAGTAATTGCTTTGGAATTATCAGCTTATAAAAGATCGGATTCCAAGAGTGAAGCCCCAGTGGTTTTTTTTAAACAAAACTGGCACATCGGGTCAGGCAGGGAGGTTTTAAAAAAGGTTAAAAAACATGTGCAATTCACTAAGGGGCCCTGGCCCATAGATGCATGCAAGCCAATGCCACAGGAATTCAAGGGACAATTAAATGGTAAAGGTAAAGGTAAAAGGTAAAGGTACCCCTGCCCGTACGGGCCAGTCTTGACAGACTCTAGGCTTGTGCGCTCATCTCACTCTAGAGGCCGGGAGCCAGCGCTGTCCGCAGACACTTCTGGGTCACGTGGCCAGCGTGACGAAGCTGCTCCGGCGAACCGGCACCAGAGCAGCACACGGAAACGCCGTTTACCTTCCCGCTAGTAAGCGGTCCCTATTTATCTACTTGCACCCGGGGGTGCTTTCGAACTGCTAGGTTGGCAGGCGCTGGGACCGAGCAACGGGAGCGCACCCAGCCACGGGGATTCGAACTGCCGACCATGCGATCGGCAAGTCCTAGGCGCTGAGGTTTTACCCACAGCGCCACCCGTGTCCCTAATTAAATGGTACAATAATAATACTAATAATAATAATTGCTATACATGTGAACATATGTAAGCACATACTGTATTTACTCGAGTTTAATGCGCACCTCAATTTTCAGAACCTTGGGGGGGGAAAGAAGTATTTGCTGGCGAATGTAAATGTGCCATTAAATCTAATGTGCACCTTGATTTTAACAACCCAATTTGGCCAAAAAAAGGTGGGCATTAGATTTGAGTATATATTTTTACAAGAA